GTAGTTCCCTACCTAGGAGAAGGATAAGAAAAACACCTGGCAATGTGACTAAGGCATCAGAGGCCAGGAGAATATGACATAAAATGCTCCGCGAGTGGTCAAAGATGCAGCTATTAAATAGGTGTTGGAAATGAATGGAAGGGTCACTCCACTGTCCTCCCCTGGTGCTCTAGCCCAAACAGCACCCTTGGAGACAGGGATCTGGAGGTACACTTTCTCCAGGACCATCACCAGGACATACTTGCACAACAAGAACTGGTTTGCCTAAATATTAGTCCATCTGCACATGTTGGGTTTGCCTAAATATTAGTCCATCCACAAGCACCTTCTTCTGGGGCCAAACACCTCAGTCTTTAAATGACTGTCTTAGTCCATAGAATGGTTTGGATTGGAAAGGACGTTAAAGATCATCTCATTTCAACCACCCCTGCTGTGGGGGCAGGGACACCTTCCACTAGACCAAGTTGCTCAAAGCCCCGTTCAACCTGGCCTTGAGCACTGACAGGGATGGGGCAGCCACAGCTTCTCTGGGCAACATGTTCCAGTGCCTCACCACCCTCACAGTGAAGCACTTCTTAGTATCTTACCTGAATCTCCCCTCTTTCAGTTACAGCACAATTCACTTGGATGCCGTGAACTGGCTTAGTTACTCAAAGATCCATTTACTAGATCCTCATTAAAATGAGACTAGCAAAACAAACTCTCCACACCACTAGGTCTGATCCAGTGGGGAGCAAAGACTGCCTAAACCTTCCCAGATTATATCAGCAGCACTTGACAATATGAGAGACTGTAAGAGGAGTAAGCAGCACCCTCACACACTTCCCCCAGCCCCAAAGAGAACTGAAATACACAGCTCAACTTCCCTGGGAGCTCAGTTCTCCCAATATGTGGACACCTAAGAACTGTAAACTCCCCTTTTCTTTAAGATAAATCCTATAGTACTTGGAAAATACAAATTTCTTACTGGTAACTCATAGAAGAAACAGAAGTGGGATGCTCTTCACACACCCCACCCCACCCCACATCTGCGACGCAGAAGACCCAGAGCATATCCAACACTGGGGTCTTCACCTTTAGGCCAAAGAAAAACTTCAACACAAGTGTTCAGCATCAGGCAATGTCCATAGCATCTCATCACCTAGGTCTGTGATACACACTGGAGGAATAAGAAGTTTCCCCCCCATTTCTCTGTGGGCTCAGGAAGTAGCAACATTATCATTACTTCAAAGATAACTGGGCATAACTTTAAAACTAAAACCACTGACACATAGATTTTTCTTCTTGTTAGCTTCATCTTTCAGCCGTTCTTCGTGTAAAGACTTTTACTGCAGAAACCAAACAACTGTCTGTGCTGTGTGCATCATAGCATCTCAGAAACGCTCCCAAGGGATGAATTCTTAAGAAAAAAGAAATAGCTGTCCCTCAGCAAACAGGACATGAGACTTAGCTCTCTGTAACTCTCAAATCCTTCCTGATGAAAGCATTTACCTCTCATAGTTCATTATGCACAGAGACACCAAAGCACCAAGAGGTAATCAACAGCTTAAAATGAGCCGTGGCCAACTGTGAAAAGGAGGCTTTCAATAAGCACAACTCTGTTCATTTACTGCTTTCTGCCAGGCAAAGCTTCTGATTATTGACTGGTGCCAAGGAAGCAGCTAACCTTCAGGGATCACACCAGATTTAATGTGCCTTCAGATTTTCAGGCTGGCTGTGCCCTGCTGCAGGGATGAGCAGCTGCAACTGTTCTCTGACCTCTTCAGGACACCAATTGCTGTAATCACTGTAGGAAATTTGAGAAATCTGGGGATTTTCTTTCTGTCATTACACTGTAACATTGCAATTGCTTCCCAAGGTCAAGGCTGACATTAGGTTGCTGCTCTCACTGCTCCACATTGCCTAAGGTTTTCGACATCTGACTTGCAACCTGAAGTAAAAATGTGTCAATTAGAGTTATGGAATCTTTCTTACCTGAACCTATGCAATTACAGTACAAAATAAATTTAACAAGAGAAACTATGCTTGAGGTGACTGTTCTTGCATTTTATCTGCTGCCATTAATTTTAATGGCAAATAACAACACGGGGATAGCTAGGAATCAGTTCTGCATAAATTAACAACAGACATCAGAGTATTGCACCACCAAATATATCCAGTTCTACTTATCCCTCAGTATTTTTTTTTTTTACATCTACCAGCCTAATCACTTTACATGTGCAGCAATTGCTGTGCCAGAACCCCTACTAGACAGCTGTTCTGATTCATACATGGATTATAAATCAGCACTTCCATACTGCTTCAAATCTCTCCTGGTTCTCCAAACTCCATTCCAAATCATATTCCAAAGGGTCAGTCAAATTTTTACTGAAACTTTTGAGTGTTTGTGAGGCTCACAAACACTCAAAGTGTCAAAGCAACTGGCATCTCAGTCAAATTTGTAAGTAAAGTACTCCATTTTCAGTAAACAAGTATTTTATCAAGACTTGGACATGATCCATGTAAACTAAGAAGCAAGACATTTAAATCTTCATAAGAACTAAGATAAGTGGATCCAGATGCGTACCTTTTCTCCAGACTGTACATTAAGAACTGATTTGCATTATAGCAAGTATATAAACCAAAACAAAGTGGGCATTTAGACATCAGTAGCACCAGGATAAGATTAATACCAGCCACAGCAAGCCTTACTTTTGTTGAATCACTTCTAATTCCTATCTAATCTGTCTCTAATGCATCCATGTCTACAATATCTATTACCCTATAAACAGGAATGCTTGGCTAAAAAGGATGTTCTTAATACCTGCCATTACAAATGATTACTTGGCCGTCACACATCCATTCCAAGCAGTCCTTGTATATCATGTTGAAAATACAGTTCCAGTTCCTGTCTCCCACAATTAAGGACAACAAACTAAAACTTTCAGCCCTAATCATTTCTGTGTATTGATCCTTGGCACATACCACGAATCAAGCAGGTAGAAATAACTGTAATACAGCTGGGCTCTCCTCATAGATTAGTTTTACCCTTTTGCTACATTAGTAAAGTACATAAATTATCTATTTTAATATAAATTGAATGCTGTTAAATCTTACCTTGGTCCAGGCTGATCTCAGTACATTAGTCTCATTTACGTTCTAAACAACATAGCCTTAAACCATGAGTTCTGATGCTTTGTATGAGACTTAATTTAATCAAGGCTTTGACTGTTAAAAGCCAAAAAAAGCAAAAAGCCCAATTTGCTACAGAGTGCTGATATTTAGCCAGAAACCTGCCTAACACTAAAAACAAGCATTAACTTTCAGTGCTTTAAAATGATGCATCTAGCTATCCAACTCATCATATCCCTATTCCACTTCCTAATAGATACCCTTCTCAGACCACTGCAGTCACTGACCCATTACCAACATCAGTGCTGCAGGGGCATCAGAGCACCATCTGTTAACAGTCTTGTATCTTCTACTCTGAATTCCAGACTTTGGAGCTTGGGATTTTTTAATTATTTATGGTTTTGTCCCAGAGATACTTTGAAACATGCACAGTCTGCTAGCTTCCCAGCCACACACCATCACCCTCAGTGCAAGCAAGAGCAAAGAAGCAAAGACCAGCAAGTCAATTTCATGCCAAGGTAGCATCTCTCAAAGAAGCACTATATATATATACACATAATATATACATACACACACACACACAGCTTCAAAAGGAAGCACTTTGGCAGAAAGAAACCAACTCCAGCATTCTTTCCTTTCAAGGAAAAGCTTTAAGTTCTGTAAAGTTTGTTTTCCATACCAACTACACTTGAGGAAGAAAGGCAGACTTCCAGGACAGTCCTTGTTAGATTGGGTCATGGAATAAACTCCTTCAGCATCAAGGCAGTAGCTAATTTCAGTCTATAGTCTCTCTCATTGTTATTCAATCCCACTGCAGATCATTTACAGGAGCTCTTGAGACCACAGGGTTCGCCTTCACAGACCACATGCCCTTATCGAAGTTGTATCAAGCATACTCATTCCTGAGTTGCTCCACATTTAGTGTGGAATAACAATGCTGTAGCGCATACTTTGTTTTCGCTACTGTTGTGTATTAAAACCAAAATTCAACTGCATGCCGCAGAACACTGCTCCAGCCTAAATCAGCTGGATTTACTCTGAAACATTGTCCATTTAGTGCAGTCAATCTTAGAGTAAGAGCTAAGCATCAGTTTCACCTGACATATACCAACCACATGACTAAGCAGCTATTTCCTGCAGAACTTGCATTTCCTCTGAAAGCCTGTGATCCAGAAGGAAATTAACACATAGCTTTGCCCATTGGAGCACTGAAGCCAGCTCTTTATTACCATTATATGAAACACTGTTCCCAGATATTAAGCAAAAAGTAATTAAGTCCAGAAGCCAGCTGCACATTTTCAGTACCCGGAATATCCAACTTATTAAACTCTTCACTTTCCATAGCAAGTTTGTCTGTTCTTCAATAGATTCCAAAAATCACTCATTTGATTCACAGCACCATTTTAAGTTACATACCCAGAAAGAAGCACAAGTCATGAAAATTGCAAGTCTAAATCTTTAGACTTGCATTTTACTATTGTTGAATATTACAAGAGAGTTCTTTATTAAAATAAACATTAAAGTGCCAGGTTTATGTACAGACTATTAAAGCAATAATAAAAAAAGGTAAACTTAAAACCTGCTAAGAAAGCAGTGAGGTCATGTAGCTGACTCCAGTTTTCAGCATGGTATTCAGCAAATTTAAGACCAGAATTTCCCAATGGCTCCTTGTTTATGGGGAGAACAGCAGAAGCTAGTGGTCACTGCCCATAACCTCCTGTCTTGCAGAAGGAGGGTACCCATATCTTTCATGAAATGGAGTAGCAGATGTTGTAAGAGATACATCTAAACATTCTATGAATTAACACCATTGGCGAAGTCTAATAAAAAGGGATTTTACTGCTGGACCTACGCTAGCCTCCTGAAAAGTACCAACATCACCACACTTTAAGAGTGGGATTTTAGCACAAGAATTAAGTCACACTGACTCAATACATCTAATGTTTCTGTGTAAACAGGAGCATACACAACTCATGGTTTCAGTTCATTTAAAATTCTGCATCCAAGGTGAAAGAGTTGTCTGTGGGCTTCGACATGACTCCCATCCTCTGATATTCACCTACTCTCTTCTCAAAGAAATTGGTCTTGCCCTCCAGAGAGATGTTTTCCATGAAGTCAAAAGGATTCTCTGCCTTGTATATCTGAAATGCAAAGGCAATTCTATAGTCACTACAGGTGCTCACATCTTGAATGTATGAGAGCATTAGCAATCAGCTGGAAGGAGGCTAATGACATCAACAGGCTTACTGTGTAGTAAACCAAAATCTCTGCCCCAAGCCTTCTACTGCATTTGTTCCCGTCTTTTAGCTGCAGTAGACAGAAGCACAGCAACTCTTACACAGCTATTCTTCCGTATTTTGCTTTTCCTTCTGTGAGTCTCCAAGCAGGATCTAACAGCAATACTTCCACATAGTTTTACAAGTTAGACCCATATTGCTGCAGTCATTTTAGGATTTGGTTTTCTGGAAGAAATGAAGCTTATGTTTTCCCCATGAAAGATTCAGTGTATTAGTCTTACCTTGTTAAATCCCAGTTCCAGCATAAGCCGGTCTGCTACAAACTCTATGTACTGTTTCATTAAAGTGCAGTTCATGCCAATCAGCTTTACAGGCAGAGCCTCCGTTAAGAATTCCTGCAGATAATAGAAGCACTTTATGTACAGAAACTGGTATTCACTCTGTACCATGTAGGTTAATTTTGTACCCAACAGCTCCCCAGCTTTCTGCCTAATTGCGATCAAGTCGCTAAACAAGGAGCAGACAATTACCTGTTCTATGAGAACAGCATCCATGATGATTTCCTTTACCCTCTCTTCTGATGGTTTGTGTATCAAGTGCTTGAACATGAGGCAGGCAAAGTCACAGTGCAAGCCCTGGAATGAAGTTTCAGGAAATTATTTCAGGAACACTGATTTAAAAGAGCCACTCAAATCAGTAGCACAGAATAAATGGCACCATCTTTGCACTTGCTATGTTAGTGTTATCTACAGGCAACTTTCTGCCTAACCAGAAGGAGGCATAAGTTCAGCCAGTACCAGTTGCACTTGCTCTGAATGGCAAGGAATACTGAGTGCAAGAGTTGGTGACAAGCCTTAAGCTACTTTAGAGGAAGTAAAATGCTAAGTTCATTCATTCTCTGCTGCAAGACCCACGATGACACACGTTTACACTGTTTAGTGAGCTTTATAGACTGTCTGTTTCTAAACATACTGACTTAAAATATAGGCTCCAACTGAATATCATTACTTTGAGATACTGCAGCACATTACCATCTTAACTGCTAGAATTTGATTCATACCTCATCTCTACTGATGAGTTCGTTAGAAAAAGTGAGTCCAGGCATTAATCCTCTTTTCTTCAGCCAAAAAATTGATGCAAAAGAGCCAGAAAAGAAGATTCCTTCCACTGCTGCAAAAGCTACTACACGTTCTCCTGTCAAGAAAAGATTGATATTACTATCACACAGAAAACTTAATAGGATTAATACCCAGAAGCTGCAAATAGGCCAGTGATCTGCATCCTCCAAGGAGAATGAAGTTTCTGCTCAAGTGTATAATGCCCTGTCCTTAAAAGCTATTTCATTAAAGGCTTCTGGTCATTAAGCAAAACTGCAACACAAGAGCAAGTAAAAACTAACTGGCAGGGTTAAGCAGCTGAAGCCAAGGCTCCTTTCCCCAGGTTAACCAGCAATACCATCTTTTTTTCAAAGATGGCACAATGAAACACAGCAGTCATTTTAGCAGCTGATGTAAGTCAGTGTCTGCTCAGCTTTGATTAAGTAAGGAAGTTTGGCCATTAAGAATGCTTTAATACTAGTGAAATAATGATCTGTACCATCTCATATCACCTTTGAAGCAAGATGTCAAGAATCAGCAAGGCAGAGGGGCTACAGCCTCCAACTGTACCTATCCACTGGAGCTAGATGGCCAGTACAGTTCTGGACACATAACAGCGATTTATAACGATCATATAGCCAGGCATATGAAGATTGCCACATGAGCTACCATTATTCAAAATGCCAGCAATTTCACAAAGAGTCAGGACAGTAGCCCAATTGCAAGATGGAAAGTATTTTCTTCAACTCCAGAATTGTACCACTATCTTATACTGGATAGCATGTACTCTTCCATGAGAGCAGTGATCCCTGTGAAGTCCAGACAAATAGTGGGTTTTGCCTTTTTCCGGGAGCAAATTTCACTGTGCTCTCAACAGGTGTACTCACCGTATGTTGCTTTCTTGTCCCCAATCCAGCGCAAGGCCCAGTCAGCCTTCTTTTTAACACATGGTAATGTTTCAATGGCATTAAAAAGAAACTCCCTGAGAAGGACAAAAGTCATTAGGACATCAGCACAACCAGTACAATAAACACCCACCTTCATAAATGGCCTTGTTCACTTACAAGTGTTCTGCACCTTCACTCTGATAATTAAGTTATATTTCCAATCTCATTTTGCACCAATCTAGCTCTATTTGTATCAACAAACTATCTTTTCATCACCTACTCATGACATCAACACCAGTCCACATGAATTCCCAGGACAATATCAGATGTTGCATTTAAACAAGGCTTTCTACAGATCAACTAGCCTCCACTCTCCAGTAGCAAGCACCAGAGCTCTCATGTGAGCAGCTCTTTAAAGATTCACTGGAATTAAGCACCTCAGAGTAGAAATGACATGGCCAGCTTCCTACAGAGTAGCAGCAATGTAAGACAGCAAATAACATTTCAATAACATGACATTTCACTGAACAGGGCATTGGTCTGACAAGACAACACCAGAATAATTCGGTCGGGACTGCTCAAAACCCTGCATTTAGTTTTAAGATACCATTCTTGAATTGGTTTATAGTTACATTGATCATACGCTTTTGGTTTTATTTTTAATCAAGACCAAAAGCCACTTGTCAACAAAATAGTCAAGTGAATAAGTGCAGCACACAATATAAGAGTGTTGCTGGTAACTAAATGCAGTGAGTTTAAGAGATGACATTTTAATAAAAGTGGCATTCTCAGAGAATTTTCCCAGCACAGCTTTCTACTAAGTGCATAGCTCCTCCATCTAAGTGCTTACTGTAATTTAATATACTCCCTTTATTCAGCTGCTCCATCTTTTACCTAGTTTCATTCCTATCTCAAGATTAAATTGCTTCAGTTTCACTCAGTCTACGCAAGTTCGTGCTCACTTCAGAGGAGGAAAATAAGAATATAAAAATAAAGAGGAAAATATCACTGCTTTTAAGCAGCAGTCATATATAAATCTGGTTTAAATCCTAAAATTAGCCTTAAAGTCAGAGTGACTGATATATGTCATTTAAATCTTAGCACATAAAAAGTTCTGAACCTTTCTTAAGCAATACAAACCTCTCTTTAGAATCTTTAATGTAGGTGTCAATAAGAAGACTGTACATTTCTGAATGTATATTTTCCATGGCAATCTGGAAGCCATAGAAACAGCGAGCTTCTGTGACAACCGCTCCACCTAGAGGAAATAAACGAGTGTTTGCAAAAGCATTTACAAAGAAGTTGCAGGTTAGACATCGATGCCACCTATAACAGCTTTTTCTCAGCCCACAGAATCCTCTCCAGATTCATTCCTGATGCGCGAGTTATTGAGAGCAATATGAAGAGAAGTAGCCACTCAACAGCTCCAAGTCATGAGTTATTCTTCACTACTTAGAGCTGAGTGAAATGGATGAACTTCTTAGCTTTACTTATCGCCCATTAGTGAGAAGAGCACTGAGAGGGCAGAAGCAGAATGAGGGCTCTGAACCAGACAAGTGTTAAAGCAACACTCAGCACCCCATGGGCAGTGGGCAAACTCGTGGACTACAAAAGCAACCCCAATTTGCTAATTAGCATAAGACAACATTACATGTTGTAATGCTACATGACCTAGCAAACAAGCTAGATGAGTCAGCGAGCACGTCAAACATAGTTATCTGGTTATCTTCACAAAGTGATGTTTCTCTCAGGCCTGTTTCTACACACTTACCAAGTTTTCATTGACAATGCCATCGCTGGCAGCAAAGAAGGCAAGAACATGAGAGATGAAGTACTTCTCCTCAGGCTTTAGGGACTCCCAGTGCTGGATGTCTTTGGAAAGGTCCACCTAGAACATCACCAGAAGCAGACATTAAATACATAGAGATGGGGCTCCATGAGGCTGCACCTCAAATACTGTGTTCAGCTCTGTGCCCCTCACTACAAGAAAGAAAGATACTGATGTGCTGGAACGAGGTCAAAACAAAGCAAAAAAGCTGAATGGTATGGAGTACAAAACTTATGAGGAGCTGATGAGGAAACTGGGCTTGTTTCATCTGGAGAACAAAAGGCTCAGGAAGTACCTTATTGCTCTCTACAACTACCTGAAAGGAGGTTGTAGTGAGGTGTTTCTTCTACCAAGTAAGAATTGATAGGCTAGAGGTAACAACCTCAAGCTGCACCAAGGGAAGTTTAGATTGAATGTTAGGAAAAAATTCTTCACCGAAAGGCTAGTCAGGTATTGGAACAGGCTTCCCGGGAATTCAGTGGTTAAGTCATCATCCCTGGAGGTATTTGAAGGACATGCAGATGAGGCTCTTAGCGACATGGTTTAGCAGTGGACTTGGCAGTCCTGGACTAATCTTAAAGGTCTTTTCCAACCTAAACTATTCTGTGATTCGGGATGAGGCCCACGCCAGAGCCCTGGGGCTGCAGGCAGGAGCACCCGGTCGGGAAGGCCGTGCCCGCTCGGGCACTGCTGGGGGTACCTCACCTCCTCCGCCGTCCAGAAGGAGGCCTCGGCCTTCTTGTACATCTGCCAGATGTCGTGGTACTGGATGGGGAAGATGACGAAGCGGCGGGGGTTTTCCCGCAGCAGCGGTTCCTCTTGGTCCTCCGCGCCCCGCGGAACCTGGAGCAGCGGAGAGACAGCGGCTGAGGGGGCGCCGGGATTTGGCGGGAAACTGAGGGGCGGCAGCTGGCGGGAACGGAGAGAGGGACGAGATGGGAGACCCCCGTGGGAGAGAGGGACGCGGGGCAACACCCGGCGGGGACT